GTCATCATTGATCGCTGTGCCAATGGATGCTCCCAAGCTGACAACGTCAACGCCGCCGCAGGGCGACTGCAACGCGTTCGCTGCCGACGAGCAAATGGTACTTACATGGATAATAACCCGTTAAAAAAACTTGGAAACGCTTTGAAACAGCACAGCATAAATACTATATAGGGCATTGCTATCATACTTAACTAAAGCTAATCAGTCCGTGATTGTTGCTTTGGTTTGAATGATGAGTTTTACTAAAGAAATACTGCTCAAGTTCATGTTGAAAACTGTTACGTGTCAGAGAAACTTTAAAGAGAAGTTTCAACTTTGTTCAACTTGCCCAATTTAGCTATATAGAAGAATCTCAAATTGACACGTTTCATATGAACTTTGGCAGCTTCTCGAGTTTCTCTCAATTGTTTTTCGCTTTTGTTTATTTGTGCGCAGCAACTTCTCTATTGTGCCAACGCTTCTCGCTCTTCATTTGAATTGAAACATTTTGTGCTATTTATTTATAAACTCGACTCGCGCGATTTCAACGATTTTTCAGCTGCTTAACGAGCTGCGGACTTTTTTGTTTTGCCCATTTTCAGACCAAATTTGAAACCCAAAACCTCCCACAAACCCGTTGAAAAATTTAATTAAATTACATGTTAATTGTTTATGGTTATGTTGTAGTTTAAGTCATAATTTGGGTGCGGTGTTTGAAGTTTTTTTGCTTGTTTTATTTTGGCTTGTTTTTTTTTAAACATTTCCTCTAATATTACTCTATTCCCCATCTGTTTTCCGAGCACACGCAACAACAACAACACGAAAAGCAGCACAATAAATATTGATAAACATTTATTTGCACAACGAATAGCATGACACGTTCCGCTTGATTAAATGTTAAAAATGCCTTCAAGAATTCCCCAAAAAAAAAATAGTAACAAAAACATAATATACATAAAGTCTGGGCGTTCTCGAGTTCTTTAAAGCAACAAAAAAAAAGAAGAAGATATTTCTCTTGCTATGGACTAACAAATATTTGCACAAATGTTTCAGTACATTCGATGGCACGAATTTCTCGAGATAAACAATTTTATATTTGTACTTAATCTATTTTTCTACACTTTTGTCTTATGATTTTTGTTTTGCTTGCGATTTTTATGCCCGTTTCAAAGTGTTGCCAAGAATGTGCACTAAAAATGTTTTGTTTGGCCTGTTTTTTTTTTCTTTCCTCTTTTTGGTTCGTCTTGAACACGGAATCAAAAACATATTTGGATTGCGATACAGAATCTCTGTATGAATATTAATAAATAATAATTTATTGTGCTGCTCTGCTGCTGCTGCTGCTGCTGCTGCTTTTGTGAACTGTACAATAGATTTAATTAGTTGGACGCTTGATTTAAGATTGTATTGAATGCATTTGGCAACAAACAAAACATTTTTATATTAATCACATTTTTCACATTGCACATTTTCATATCGTTTTTATTGCACGATTATGGCAAAAACAATTCATTAACAATTCCTAATTGTACGTTTTTCCCAATTTCCAAATGCGCTGCCCATCAGGTCGTGGACGAGCACACGACTGTGTCGAAGCCGGAGCCCAAGAACCATAATACGCACATTCTGAAATCGGACTGGTTCTGGTATACCATACAGAATGGCTATGCCAACGAGATGGATTATCTATTCGGCGATGTAAGTGCCATAATAAACAAATTTCAAATATATCCCAACCATAATTTTATCGGTTTTATTTATATAGTATTTGGATAGCATTACGAATACGCCAAGTACAGATCGTCGCGATTCGCTGCCCATTAGCTTTAACAAGCGGAAACGGAAGCGTTTCTCACAGCGCATACAATTGGAGGGCACACCCCTGGGCACGGGCAAGCGGCGATCTTCGGTATCGGATGCTGGCCTATTGTCCGTTTCGAATAGCTTCTTTGACTGCACCACCAGTCCCGATAAGCTGGAGAATGATAAGCTGCTACTGCATGTGGAGCCAGAAGCTAGCGAGGCCACGCCCACCAAGAAATCCATGCGATTTAATCACTTTATGGACTTCTTCACCACAGAGTCCAACTATGTGGGCATACTGGATACCATATTGAATGTAGGTAGCCGCTACTTATCCTCATCGAACATTCATAAAAATCCATTCTCTTTATCCTGCAGCTGTTCAAGAACAAACTGGAGGAGTTGGCCGAAACGAATGATTCGCTGCTAAATAAATCGGAGATCAAGTCAATCTTTGGCAACTTTCTACCCATACACGAGGTGCATCAGAGCATGCTGGAGCATTTGCGCAAGCTGCATGCCAATTGGCGGGAGGATTGTCTCATCGGAGACATAATTATACAGCATCGCGATGAGCTGATCAAGGCCTATCCGCCATATGTTAATTTCTATGAGCAGATGAAGGAACAACTGCAGTACTGTGATCGCGAATACCCACGCTTCCACGCCTTCCTCAAGATCAACCAAACCAAGCCCGAGTGTGGACGTCAGAGCCTACAAGATCTAATGATCCGACCGGTGCAGCGTTTGCCCAGCATTAGCCTGCTGCTGAATGATATACTGAAGCATACGAGCGGCAGCAATGCGGATCATGCGCGTCTCGAGGAGGCGCTGAAAGCCATAAAGCAGGTGACGCTGCACATCAACGAGGACAAACGCCGCACCGAATCTCGCATGGCCATCTTTGATATATTCAACGATATCGATGGCTGTCCAGCACACTTGGTTAGCTCCAATCGCAGTTTTATTTCCAAATGCGAGGTCAACGAGCTGTCCGATTCACTGAGTGGGCGTGGCGACAGTCTATTGCTCTACTTGTTCTCCGATTCCATAGAGCTGTGCAAGCGCCGCTCGCGGGGCTTCAACACGGCCAAATCGCCGAGCACGGCCAAAACGCATAAGCACATAAAACTGATATCGCTGAATACGATACGATTTGTAATTGATATTACGGACAGTCCGCGTGCCTTTGGCCTGCTGCAGCGTGGCGATAAGGAGAAGCTGTACACCTTTAGCATCATTGACGAGGAAACGGATAAGCTGGTCTATCTTAAAAAGTTGTGCATGCAAATTGCCGCGCACACGTGTCGCACAGATGCTGTGAGTAGTTAAAGAAAACTTCCCATTTATATAAACTGACTGATGTACATTTTGATTGCAGGACAAAATGATGCTGAGTCGCACTTCACTGGAACTGGAGGTGGACATCAGCGATGTAAATGTCAGCACGTTGAGCAAGGCCTTCAAATTGGCTGCAAAAACGCGCCTAAAGGTAAATTTCCAAACAACTGATTCCAAAATGTGATCAATCTAAAGGCAATTTTGACTTTTGGCAGGTGGGACGCGCCTTTTCCTTTAACAAAACGCCCAATAAGCTGAAACGTGCAGTATCCACAATGATGACATCGCCGTTTGGCAGCACCAATTCGCTTACGCCCGCCTCGCAGCTGGCACAGATGCGCCTGGCCAGCTGCACCAACATTAATGTGAGTTACTACATAGATATATAATTTAATCGTTTTTTTGCTAAATCGATTGCCACATTACAGGAAGTAGCTGATGAGGATTGTGCCAGCATGCGCAGCAGCTCACCATCTACGCAGTCCGAGCTGCTGGTCGTGCCGCCGCTGTCTGTGCAGCCCACGCGCAAAAACAAGGCCGTTGTCGGCCGAATTTAGCCAGCCATGCTTGAGTCTGGCCCCGGCTAATGCTCAACTCTCCTAATAAGCGTATTCCATATGAACTCTTTAGTAGGCCTTAAGTACGTCTCGAACACTCACGTGTGCCCATGCGTAATCATGACTGTATTGCATACTTTCGATATTCGTAATCTCAAAAAAAAAAAAAAAAAAAAAAACACGCGTCCAATCAGTATAAGGTCGTAATTTTAGAATTCTTTTAAGCGGTTTTTTATTTATCGCCATTAAATGTTGCGCGCAAATGTTGAAGCGTTTGCGTTGATTTTGGCGTTCTCGATCATTTATGTATCGCTCAAAACTAAGCGTAATTGTAAATAGTACTTCTTAATATGTCTATCTATACATATATATATATATATATATACATATACCATGTCTATAACTTTATGTTCAATGTAATCGTATGTAATATAACTAATCGTATTAGTGACTTGAAATCGCATTCACGCACTGAAAACAAATCGGTTCGATTTCATTTTGTTCGGCTTGTCGCCATACTGCTAAAGCTGTGAATGTTTACTGAGTAAATTTAAAAAAAAAAATATTCATAACGATTAATGTTAAACTCATTCAATTTGTTTGAGACCGGCATCTACAGCATTAAGTTGTATTATAACAGAGCATGATGATGATGTTTAAGATTTAATATATAAACAATGAAACTTCAAAACCAATTTAATTTTACTAGAAGAAATGACACAAAGTTCTATGGATCGAATTAATTATAACTGATACTTGCTGGATAAATAATGGATTCGATTGTGCGAAATGTCAAGAGTACACAAATGGACATTTCTGCAAGATTGGACTTCATTTAGCCGAGATATGGACATTAAGAGTTTTTGAAAAATATATAAAAGCTTGAATATCTCGGGTATTACAAGTCTGTTTTCCGAGCGGTATACCTAGTTTTACTCGTACAAACCTGGACTATCGATTGCCATCCAAAAATTTCAATTCTAAGTTTTAACCAAAATTGACAGAAATGGCAAGGGGTAACATCACAATTTTGGCGAAAATCGGCTCGGTCCCGAAATCAAGAAGATTTGATGCCAATGTGTTCTATAGAGTCTCGCGAGTACGGCAAGGCATATCGCTCCCAAATCGGACTTCTTCTGGCCAAAGTATAGACATTTGAAGTTCCTAAAAAATTCCTAAATTAAAAATTTCCTGCCCGATTGCGGAATCGTTTTCTTTGTTATAGATATATCTATAAAATGCTAGAGAGGAAAACCAGACAATGATTGCCCTTTCAATAATCTGCGGCAAACAACAACTTTATTAATCATAATAAATAAATTACGGTAATTTAGTTGCCTGAATTTGCTGGAATTTCAAAATACAATTTGGGCGATATATCTAATGGGTTTCTTATACTATTGAGCACTTATACTACGCTTATCCCAACTATTGTACATAGGCAACTATTAACTGACTTTCGTTATAGACTATATACAGATCTAACGCCAGAATTTATTTTAGACATCGCATCCGAGTGCAGCTGATATTGAAGATTGTGCGATTGGAGGTGTAATAAAGTTTTCAATTTGAAACCAATCTCTAGTACGGCCAGCTCGTTGGTACCATTGGCCGTCCAAACAGCTGCAAATGGAGGAGATCCCTGATTAAGGTATGCTTTAGACGGATAATTATTTGGTAGTCCGTACATATCTTGTTGCTTTTTGCACGTATATTGACCACAGCGCCGCAGATTTCGCTAGCATATTCAAAGGACTCGCCCACCATCATTAACAAAATATCCAGCCAGATGCGATCGAGCGCATATTTGGAGCTCTTGCCGACAGTAAAAAGCCAGCGGCCGCCCTTGATGTTTGACTCGTCCTCCCACATGGGCCTGAAAGACAAACAAGAGTATTATCAGTTTGGATTGGATTGATCAGGTATTACCAAGATTAGCTTACTGTATACCCTGTTTGAACATGTAATAGTCGCTGCCAATTTTGAGCTCCGACGGTGTTTTGATGGTATAGTAGAGGCTGAAAGGCAGATGAGATTTAATATTTTGAATAAGTTGTCAGACTGGGGGGACTTACCCCCAAAAGGTTTCGATGCTATCGATTTGTGTGATTTCATTGAGCATATCCTTCCAGTGCTTGGTGCGATCATTTTCGAGATACCACAATGTCCAGACATGCTCTAGCGGATGTTTATACTCGATTTTATAGGTTTGTTCGTTCTGCTCCTCGGGCACACTTTCCAGCTCATGCTCCCGTTCATTTAGCAGCTCCTGCTTCTCAATGTGGGCAGACTGCTCCAAGCGACTCTGCAGAAACTTATTTGGCTCAAAGACCGATGACTCAAATGTTTGCATTTGGGCGCTGGCCATGCTTGGGATACCCTGTAAATCCTTAATAGGTGGGCAAATATTTAGCGATAAGTATGTTAGCGTTGAGTGCGTTTGCCGGAATATTGCGGAAAATACCGAAAAGTTTTGAGCGAAACGTTACGTGCCGAAACGAGGAATTCTAACGATAGAATGAAAGCAGATAGTGAGCAAAAAGATATGACAGGAAATGCTAAGTCAATGTCATCCATAACATTCGCAATACTCAAGGCCTGCTGCGATACAAAATCAAAATGCCTCAAGACTGAATCACAAATGAGAATAAAGTGTTGGCGGCAGGCCGAAGAGTAAATACTCTGTCTGGCACATGGAAAATGTGTGGCATACAAATAGAATTTTCATGAACTTGTATTGTATTCCTTTTAAAGCTAAGTGACATGGGACTTAAAAGCATTTGCTGAGGCCATGAGGCATATAAATACTGGCCGAGTGTTGGAATTGGGTTGGAAGAGACTTTATTGATTCACCTGCTGTTGCTAAAACTGATGTTCAAGCAGGCGAATCGATATATATGGGGCTGACACGGAAGGCTCTATCAAGCCTATTCCAAATCTCGTTGCAATTCTCAGAATTCTTTATGGTGTCTTTGCAATTTTTTGTTTAACGAGTCTTCTACAGTATGCATTATCTAATTAAATTAAATTAAATCATATTTTACCAAATCTCTAGTAAAATGTTGATAACTAAAACCGCTGAATAATAAAATATGACAAATCTATTAAATCTCTCGAAGTTCTGTGACAGAAAGACTTGCAAAGCAACCGTCTCTAAGAACTCTACTGAATTCTTGATTTCAGGTACTTAGTTTTTTTTTTTACAAATGAACATTATATATATAAACTTATTTGTTTGGCTTTTGAGCTCTCATCATTCAACATGCCATAGAACTAAATATTTTTTTATAATTCTAAAGTATGTTGAATGTTTATATTCAATATTGATATTAATACAATAATAATATGAAGACAGCTTGTGATTCAGATCAGAATCAGAGATCATAAATGGTTATATATCTGATCTATTTAAAATCGAAATAATATATGCTGCAGCCGCTGAAATGCTGTAAGGTCAGAATATTTGATCGGATTTCACGCTTTTCTTTTCCATTTTCTACACACATTGTAAATGTACATTTATTTTTCTGTAGCTGCAAAATCATATAAATACTGCGAAACTTAGTTTGTAACTATACAAATAATTAAATGTAGAAATGCGGCGTATTCGATAAGAAACTGAAACTAAATACATATACATAATTAAAATAATATCATATACATAACGTACGTAAATCAAAAATTTGAAATTTAATTTAAGGAACGGCTAACAACTAAACGAAAGAGAGAGAGAGAGAGAGGCACTAGCGAGTAGAAGAACATAAAAACTAAAAAAAAACTTAATTGAAATGGAGCGAGAAATGCCACTGGGGTGGGTTTTGGGCATCGGTGCGAGAATGGGCTCAGCCTAGACCCAGAGCACAGCGGCTGCATCCTCGTTGGAGAGCGTGGAGAAGCGCTGATAGCGATTGGCATTCCGATAGGTTTTCGCTGGCGATTGCGTCTGGCAGCTGGCCGCGAGCTGTGGTTGCAGCGGTTGCAGCGGCACGCCCACCACATTCAGCGCCGACTTCAGCGTCGAGTTGCGGCTCTCTGTGGAGAGCGAGAGGCGGCAATTGTTGCCGCCAATCAAGGTGGAGCTGAGCGGCAGACCCACATCATGGAACGAGCTGATGGAGCTGAAGCCGCTCTCATCCTCCGTGCTGGAGCCATTATTATTGCAGTTGCTGCTCGCAGCTGGCTTGCTCTGCTTATTATCATTGTTGTTGTTGTTATTGTTGGCGGTATGCTCCTCATCGGTTTCGATTTTGGATGAGGACGAGGCCGTCGAGGAGATGGTGGAATGCACAGAGCTATCGGTGGAGCTGCGCAGCGACAAACGCGAATCACGCATCTGGTTGGCGCGTAAAAACAGCATCTCAGCGCTGCTGGCGGCGACGGTGGCGGCGTTGTTGGCATTGCTGCCGTTGTCCAGATCGCCGTTGCACTTGACAGCCGGCGGATGGTTGGCCGTCACATCCAGGCCGGTCGAATTGTGCAGCGGCGCGGGCGCGGGTGCAGCTGCGAGCAGCGTCAACACTGAGCTGGTTTTCTGATTCTTGCAGAGACGCTGGCCGCCGGCCAAGGAGACCATCGAATGACGCGGCTGCGTGAGATCCGGCTGCTGCCCAGACATGTGCAGCAGATTGCGTATGGTGCGCGCCAGGCGAAAGGCCTCCTGGTTGAGCTTCTCCTCGGCTGCCTCTGGCGAGGAGAGACGCGACTTGCAGCCGCCCAACTTCTTGGGCGAGCGTCGCCTGAGAGAGAGAGAGAGAGCGAGAGTCAGGGGGAGAGTTATTAATATACACGCAGACACTTACCAGGTGAAGTCCTTGAAGGCATTGTAGCTGCCCGCTGGCGCAATGCTCTCGTAGCTGTGCTCCTCGTTCATGGTCAGCATCGATTTGTTTAGCATCAGATTCGTGCTGCTGCGCGCGCGCAAATACGAGGCGGAGCTGTTGCACGAGGCGACGGAGCCGGCGCAGCTATTGCCGCCAGCTGCCAGCTCCGGGCAGCCATTGGGATCGCTCTGCACGCCGTGCACATGATGCAGACTCTTCGAGCGTGAGATTTGCTCGCCCAGGCCGCCGCCCAAGCTGTGGCGATTCGCTTGCTGCTGCCGTTGCTGCAACTGTTGCTGCTGCTGTTGCAACTGTTGTTGTTGTTGTTGCTGCTGTTGATAGCGCTCGAAGAAGCGCGCGACTTCCTCCATTACAGCTCGATACATTTCACAATTGGTTTCTGTCTGTTGAGAAAGTCAAAGAAAACTTAGTTCGGTAAAATGACAAATTCGATTGGGTTCTGTCCGCGTTTGAGACTGTCCGCATTTATGTCAGTTTTTCATGGCAACAAACCCGAGAAAAATATTATTATGAATTAGACTTGCGGCTCGCACCCAGGTCTAGCCTTTGGGTGCGGTTCGTGTAGCTGATTTTCACATACATAGACCTAGACTTTTCGTGTGAGCCTAGGTTTAACAAGGCTTTTTTTAATTTGATTATAATTAATGTAATTAAATGTGCTTTAAGATTTTTATGCTGCAAAAATTATTTGAAATATTCAACAGCATGTTAGTCATTCTCTTAAGTTGAATAACTGAATGTTGCTGTCTTCTATGCGATTCTCAAGTACTCAAGCAAGTCAGATGTATAAATCAATAATATTAAAGAGCTGTCTCTGTCATTCTCTCTTTTTTCCTTTCATTATTGTCCACTTGCCTATTTTCCTTTCAAGCTTTCTTTCTTTTCTGATACTTCTCAAAAAATAATATATAAGTTGACTATTCAATTCATGAGAATCGCCTAGAAAGGCGATGTATGTAAGTAAATACGAATCGTTCAAATTCACGTACGAATATATAAATTATTTCAAGGCACATTACGTAATGATGGCAAATTGAGGTTTAAGTATAAACGTGTTAGGTCTTTAATTTCGATTGTATAATCTTTGCCCCGTCTAGTATTCTTTATAGATGTCTGTTCTGTTCCGTCTGTCCCTACCTTTGTCTGCCGTATATAATTTTACGCTTCGCCTGTTCCTATTTGAAATTCATTTGCAGCAATTTGTTATGTTAATTATCTTAGGTAATTTTGCATGCAAATTTTGTTGGACAGTTGTTCAATTTCGGCTTTGTTTTCTTATTTTCCGCTCTATCTAAACGTTTCTGGGGTTCGAAATTCTGTAAATGTTGGGCTTCTACAAAAGTGGAATGTGTTTCATCTGAGATGGTTTTTTTATTTTCTATTATGTCGCACTCATAGCTCGAGATTATTTGACGACATTCTTTGACTTTTCTTTGCTTTTCGTCCACTTTTCTTTTACCTTTCTCCCGTGCAAGGTCGTTGCCACATTGAACTCGTCATTTATTTATGATATTTGATTTCAATCAATAAACAGTTTATGCTTTGATTATGTTAATTTGTTTATCAAACATTTTCCATCGTCGACTTGTGATGCCGTTGCATTTGTGGAGCAGTCGTCGCTCTTTGCTCCAGAGTCCAATCCCACTCAACCTCCCCCCTGCCACTGTTAAGCGACTTTCACTTGGACGACATTTTGATTTAACTTAATACTAAGTCTGACTAACATTTCAGCCCAACTCGACTTAAACGCGGTCTGTGTGCCACGTTGCAAGCATAGAAATTGCCGTCTTTAGGCCAAATTGTTGTTGGCCCACAAATTTGCCTGCCTAATTAACGTGCAGCGTGCCTCGAGGCGTTGCCAAATTGGCTAGTCAAAGTGTTAAGATGCCACCTGGCCCAAAAAGGCTGCCACTGCCACACCCACTTCTTGCTGCTGCAGCGGCTGCAATCGCCAAGTTGGCCAAAAAGAGTTTCACATGACGCCCAAATGAGACACACAAATAAAAAATAAATAAATAAAAAAACAACCAAATGTTGGCAATGCAATTTGGCAGCAACGTTTTGAGCCAATGTTGTTGTTGTTGTTGTTGTTGTTTTTGGCCAGCCTGCTGATTACGTAAGCTACAAAATGTTTGCTGCGGTCTTTCAAATAGTTGCCAATGTTTTTGTTGTTGTTGTTCGTTTTTCCGTTTGGCAGCAGCAGCAGCAGCTGCCATTTAAAGTTTTCCTGCTGCGTGTTTATTGGATTGAAGATGGGAATTACGAGTGCACCCATCCCCTCCACCCCTTACACACACACATGTCAGTGTAAGATTTATGCGATTATAAGAAACAACAGGTTTAAGCGAGGCGTTAAGCATTAAATACGCTTTCAAATATATTAATTATATTATTTCTTGGCCATATTTATATGTTACATATACATTACATATCTTTAAATATACGCTGTAATATATATATATATTACATATATGTGCTCGCATAGAGGTGGAAGAGGCGATTAAATGTCAACTCTATAAATAATCGTTTCTGATCCATTTTGATATAAGATATAGTAGTTAGATTTAAGACAGGATATTGCCTTGTTGTAGACATTTGCCTTAGAGTGAAGCTCGAAATATGGAATTTGATTAACATAACATTTAAGAACATAATACTTTTCCATGATAGAACCTAATTTCCTATTCCAGCTATATGCTATAGTGTTCCGATGTGGCTAGGATTTTGCATATTTGTAGAGAACCTTGAGAGAAACTTATTTATGCAGAGTTTGGTCAAGATATTTTGCAAAACAAAACAGTTGTTCATACAAGAACCTAGCTTTCGATCAATATGATATAGTCATCTGATCCGAATGGTTTCGACATATGTACTGCCTGGAATAGAAAGACGGATCTGTGCAAAGTTCGAAGAACATAGCTTTAATGTTGAGAGACTATTTCATATAGAAACAGACAGATGGACAGACGGACTTTATGACTATATCAACTCGGCTGTTGATGCTGATCCAGAATATATATACTATATGGGGTCAGAGATATCTTCTTCCATGCTAAACAAGCTATCACTGAGATATAATCGCAAATTGAAAAGTTGCAGCATAAAGGAAGCCAATTTGTAACCAATTTTCGTTATGTTATAGTCATTCGATGCGAGTGTTGCCAAGTTATTTGGCAATAAAATCCAGCAGCTGCAGCAAGTTGCAACAGCTTAAAACTTAGCATAGGCAAATTTAGATTGATGAGCTATGCGGAATTTATGTGAAAGTCTTGTTGTTGTTGTTGTTATTGTTGTTGTTGCATTTATGCCTTGTTTAATTCATTAAAGCGCATTTGCTTGGCCAAGTTTGTCAGAGCTAAAACATATTGAGTTTGGGCCAGATTCGTGGTGGATCTTGTCCATTTTCTATTCACAATTTTGGTTCATTAAAAACCCATCTAGAGTTGCGCCAGCATCCGCTCACACACACACACACACACATAAGTTCCTGCCTTCAATCAATCGACGCCATCAATCAAAACGGGCTCAGGCTGTGCGTCTCATGTCTGGGACTTGGCTCTGGTCGCAGCCCACGCTCATGATTTGTTTGTTGTTTAATGAAGTTGTAGTTGTTGTTATTGTTGTTGTTGTTGTAGTTGTTGCTTTTTTGCCGGTTGCTGCTGCTGCTGCTGACCGCCTTTGGCTGCTGTGTAACCCAGTTTTTCTGGCTTGGCTAAGTTTTCCGGCGGCATTCCAGCTTGAGAGAAGTGTGGAAAATATTTATCACTGATTAGATTGCAATTTTCTGCCGCCTCGTCGACGGCTTTCCACGCGTAGCCAGCTTCATTGAGGCGCATTTAAAGCGCATTAAATCAAAATGAAAGCGTAAATATTTTGCCATTGTTGTTGTTGCTGTTGCTGTTGTTGCAACTTGATGAATTATAGAATCTGAAATCAGTTTGTTGATTGAAAGTGTTGCAATGTGTGTAAACACATCAGATGCCGCGCGTCTCTTGCCATATATGAGAAAGTTGAAGGTCAGCACGGTTCAAATATGGCTTGGAAATTGAAAAGCATGGCAAGAAGAAGAAGCAGAAAAAGAAGAAGAGTATTGAGCACAAGCTGCGCTTAGACATTAACCAGGTTAGTTAACTGCCAACAAGTCAGCGACCCAAATACTTTACGACTTGCTATTTTCCAAACATAAAGCTGATCAATTAGACGCGCCCCTTGGGTGGCAATTCCAAGTCTCAGATTATGGCTAGAAATTGAATTTCTTGTGATTAACATTTCGGCTTCTGAATTCTGACTGGAAAAGCCGTTTCAGAATCTCGCATTACAATTGTATTTATAAAAGTATTATTATATGTCTAAAAGAAAAGATAAAACTTCTTTTATATATGTGTTGTCAGACTCCTTTAAGGGATTCCAGATTGTGGCACGAGACATTTATCTTATTGATTATTTTTTATGTTTTTATGTAAATACTTGCTAGAAATATTCTAAAAACATTTCCTAGTCTTACAATTTTCCTACTCTAGCTATAAAACATTAACCCTCAGCTAATATTCCTTTTGCTTATTTCCAATCACTTTTTTACCATTTCCAATTTAACTTTTGGCTGTTAGTTTAAATATTCAGTTCTTCGTAAATTTGTCTATTACCATTTCCAATTTCCCTTTAGCATTTCCTCTTTCTCTATTGCTTTACAGTTCCCGTCAGGTCATGCACAGTTCATTCGTCAATAATTTCTAGTTGGCATCTTTGTTCAGAATCTTGAACATTTCTATCTGATTGCACGCACAGTGGGCTGGCATTTATATGCCTTGCCAACAGCAGTCAATAAAAGATAAAACTGCGCCAAGAATCTATTGTTTGAGGAAATATAAAATTAATGCCGCAAAAGTTTCAAGCCATTGAGGAAATGGCCAAAAGACAATGAGACGCCGAACAGAACAGAATGGAGGAGAATAGAATCAAATGGTATATGGCATGGAGCCGAGGTGAGCTGAGTTGGCAACTTGACGACCACCGGGCTCTATAATTAAGCGTTAAAAAGAATGTGCCGCCTAATTGTGGATGTGGCTGGACGTCGCCCTGGCAGTCCAGCTGTCCGTAACCGGAGCCGGACAACACACAACAAGACGAAGAAGAAGAAGAAGCGAGACGCTTAAATGAAATGAAATAAAAGAAAAGAAAAACAAATCAAGGAAATGATACAAAATGAGATACAAAGAAAACAGAACAAAACAAAGGCCACTTAACACGGCGCTGAAATCACAAAGGAATAAGGGGCGGGTGAGGGGGAGGTGTGCGGCCATGACAACGTCTCTCTCTCTCTATCTCCCTCACTCCCCCCCCCTCGCTCTCTCTCTCTCTGGTAATTATGAGTGTATTAGGCGTGAGAACACAAGCTGCCCAGAACGAAGACAATGCAGAGAATGAGAGGCAGAGACAAGTCAGGCGAACAGGTTGAAGTTGAAGGTATTTGGAGCACCTGGCAGGGCAGAGAGGGGTTGGGGGTGGGGGAGGCAAACACAGCCTTTGCATAGTTAAGCATATAAAGTGAGCGTTGAAGTCACGTTTTGTGTGTCGAGTCTGGCGTCTAGACTAGCAATGCTTTTGTCAAGTTTGTGTCTTAAGTCTTTCGACGATCAAGTCAAGTTTGTGTCTAAAGTCTTTTGTTTGGCACTCACCTGCTTCAATTGCCATTGCAATGTGTCCACCTGATTTTGCAATATGACAGCCTCGACATTTAACGATTGCTCATGTGCGGCTAGCGGTGGCAAGTTGTTGTTGTTGTTGTTGTAGTTGTTGCAGCCGTTGTTGTTGTTGTTGTTGGGTGCGGCAACATGACTGGCATCCTGCAAATGTTGTCAACAGATTAAAAATGGAAGAAAAAACCAAGCGAATAGTAAAAATGCGCGTTAAATTAGCTAGAGTTTTTGCCATCTCAAAAATGTTGTCGCGCCGATTGGCAATTTGACCAGAGTCTGGGTGGCAGGCAACACACGCCTCGCTGCCACATTTGGCGGCGCCACAAGCGGCTGCCAGTTGCGTTGCGCATTCCGCTTTTGCGCATAACCAAAAGCGGAAAATATACAATAAAAAAAAAAAAACAAATAGATAAATAAAGCAAACACCAAATTAATTAGAGAAATTGTTTCACAATGTTTTTTCTGCACAATTTTCTTCTGTTTTTTTTTTTTTAGTATTTTCATGATTAATTTTTATATATTTCAACTGCTTTTTTTCACACTAAATTATAAAAAGAGAAAAATGTGTAGGCAATAAATTTCTGGTACACTTAAAATTTTTTAACATTTAGTCAAGCGAGGCTTTTTATTTTTAGTTGTTGTTGTTGTTGTTATCTGTCTGCCAGAACCCGTTTGTCAGTTATGCGCCATGTTTTTGTTTTTCATATAACAACATTTTTTTGATACATTTTAGTTTTTTTTTTTTTTTTTATGTTCACGGTTTACTTTTTCTTTTATAACGTCATTTTTTCAAAGACTTTGACCCACAATGCAAATAGAAAACAAACTCAAATATTATCACAGACTAGTTAAGCTTGGCTTTTGAAGGGACTGTAAAATCCAGCTAATAGAATTTTTCGTAGTTTCATAAGAAACTAGCGGGTATTACCCGGCGTTGCCCGTGGCATTTTAGATCATTCATTCATTCATTAAAATGGAAAACGCGGTTCAACATTTTTCACCCAAAAGCTGTGGACATCGTAGATAATCAAAAAAGTTATATGCAACAGTTTTTCGCTAAATTTCCACAGTTGCGATGGGAATTTCCGAAATTTCTGAAACAACTGATCATTAACTTTTTATGTAGGGCTTTGATAGTATATTTAAGACCGATCGTTCGAATCTGAAAACATTCCCAAAAGAAGCCTTAGGCCAGCATTATACAAAAAGTGTGAAACCCTTCTCAAATTAATGTTCATAAAGATGCTTAGAAATGAATTTGAGCTGGAGACAACCCCCACCAAATCCTTGACATCCATTTCCATCAAGGACGGATTTTCCGAAAAGGGTGAAACACATCTTATTTGAATTTAAATAAAGATATTTGAAAATGAGTTTGAGGCTAATCGGATGGTATACAAAAAAGATCGGGTGGAATTTACCAAAAGCCCATTTTGGAGTTTCTCTTGCGGTTTGAGCTTTGCGTAGATCACCAATCAGTCAATCAGTCAGTCAGGTTTGATTGATTAGTTAGTCAGTCGGAACCAACTGTTTTATATAAAGGCATGATATAGTGCTGCGCTTCACAGGCTTTTTGCCATAGTTTGATTAACAAATCTATAAAAGAGCCTTTAACTAAATGCTTTAAGCAAATGCCCAGCTTCAAATAGTTTATGTGCTGCTTTGTGGCTAGTCGCATTTGCTTTAAAAATCAGCTTGATTAAACGCAAACACATTAATTTCCAATCACAATCTCAATTACCGCGCGGCCACAACGAAATTTCCCATTTGCGGCTGGCTTTGTGGTCAACGGCCACGCCCACCGCCAACTCAATTTGCGGCCAGTTGAACGCTTATTAATTAATGTATTTATCTTTCCATTATAAATAATCTTTTGAACCTGCTGTGGTAAAAATTACCATAAAAGTGCATCAACTAATTAAACTAGAAGCAAGACAGGCGCGGCGCATAAAAGCAAAAGAGTGGGAAAATTTTAAATTTTGGTAAAGTTCATTTTGTTGCATTCATTTTTTGTACGGGGTTGCGTTTCATTTGGGAAAAAGATTTTTTTTTGAACAAACGCTTTAGTAATTTACATACGAGAAATAAGTTATCAGAATGTAATAAATCAAATCGAGGTCAACTGAAGCATAATTTAGTTTTAAACTAATTTACTTTACGAAGTTTTGGATGATAGCTGAAAAAAAATGCATTTGACTAGGCTATTTGTATATATAATAAACATATTAATAAAAGAGTTTAAGCTCTTTTAAGGGCTTAGCTTACTTTTATATAAGTTAAAGCAAGAACAACTTTGTCAAACAAAAGAAATTCTTGCTTTTTATAACTTTGTGAGAGTATTATGATTTGTGTAGGAAGATATTTCCGAAAAAGTATTTTTTCTATGGCAAAGCAATCGTTTTTCCAAAATGTTTTCCACAAACTCAGCATTTACGTGCTTCAATATTCTCACATATTTGCAGAGCCGTAGGGCAAATGTCTAAAAAGGCATTAAATCTGCGGCGTACCAAATATATATTCTTACTTTCCGATATATATTATATAAAATATAGTAAATCAGGTTCACAGTGTGCTGTAGTAATTCAATTACTTTTAAAAATTATTGAACTTTTTTTTATTATTTTATTTTATTTATTTAACAGCTTGCTTTTCGTGTCATTTGTGCGGCTTTAGTTACATGAAGTCGCCGGGTTTCTAATAATATAGAAACTTGATATTTTGAAAATTGACAAAAATCTTTGACTAAGATGTTTTAGTTCATGTACTTTAGCTTTTGTACATTTAGGATATTTTGAAGAGTTTTTTAAGATTCCAGAAAAAAACAACTTCTTATATTTTACATTATCAAACTTACAAGTTGGGATCAACTGAAGTATTAAATTGTTAAAAAAAAGTCACCTCTTTTATATTTAAAAAACTTTTTAGTGCCACTTTTCGTCTCTTCAGTTAGTTGGAACAACAAAACTGGTCTTTCTGGGCCTTTGAATAAACCAATCAAGACTTTAACTATTTTTTTTTTTTTTTTGGGAGCGCATAGTTACCTTATGTAATGCATATGATATATTATGTTTATATGTATATATCTATTACAATTTGCATTAAAATGTATATAATACCGTTGCTTTTTATGCTAATTACGACAATTATATAATGCATGTACTCAGCCCTTTATAGCCAAGTCTTAAATTTATGCAGCTCGTGTGACGCTTTAAAAATCCATTTCCCAAAGTTATGCATGGGGCTATATTATTAGATACACGCTCACATTTGCCGGCAGCCGTGGGCCAATCTGCACAGAGCTGAGCTGAGCAGCATCGCAGTTCTAATGCCCGAACCACACCCCCAGGTCCCCCTCTCGCCCCTTTTTCATTCTATCAAAATCTAATTAAAATGCGCGTTACAATTCGCATAAACAGGCGACGACCTCATTGCAAATGGCTTTTGGCATGCAAATTTAACGCTGCCAGCCAACAAATGTCAATTGCTGCAACAACAACATGTACAAGAACTGGGAGCTGCATTTGGTGGCAAGTGTCAGTTGCAGTTGCAGCTCCAGTTGGAAGCTCATCAATGTGCTATTTTATACGGCGCAATGCAATGAAACCTCAGCAAAGCTGCCAGCTTTTGAGTTGGCAAAAGAAATCTGCATTTTAAATCAGCGCCAACAAACAACAACAACAGCAACAACAATAAACAATTGCATGCTCCAGTAATTTTTGTTGCCTGGCCAACAACAACAACGGCAACAAGTGCGGCAAAGGAAGGGTTGCCACATGTGGCACATTGAAGATTCCCAGGCCAGATGCGGCTCCATTACCAACTTGTTATTTAAATTGTTTTGCACTAGAAGTAATGGCTAAAAGGAGACAGCAAGAGAGGCTGAAAGCGAGACAGACTGCGGGGGTGTTTAAACGTCAAGTAGCTGAATTGAGAGAAAAAGGTTCAAACTACAAAAAAAAAAAAGTTGCCAGCGGAATGAAGCTGTTGCTACTATGTTCTGTTCGTTGTTGTTGTTGCTGCCGATCGTGATGATGAAGTTAAATGTTGCTGCTGATTAAACAGATGTGCGCACAATGAAGTTGCCGCTGCTGCTGTTGCTGTTGCTGCTGGGCCAGATACAGGCCAAACAGGAAGTTGGGCAGGGGAATAAGGTTGTGGTATTATTTTAATTTAAATTAAATGAAGTCGGAGCAGCATGGCATGTGCATACATAGATAAATATATCATTAAAGTGATAGGATGTCTGGGTGTATGTATGTGTGAGTGTATGTATGCATGTGTGCATGTATGCATGCATGTATGCATGTATGCATGTATGCATGTATGTATGCATGCATGTATGCATGTATGCATGTATGTATGTATGCATGTATGTATGCATGCATGTATGCATGTATGCATGTGTGCATGTATGCATGTATGTATGTGTGCATGTATGCATGTATGTATGTATGCATGTATATATGTTTGTATGTACGTGTGTGGATGTTCTCTCATATCAAGTTCAGGCCAAGCCAACTATGCCCTGTAGTACACATATAAAGCAAACATATTTGTCTATAACGCCCTACTATGCGATTCTCATGAGTTCAGGTAAGCTTTGCTAGTTTTCATGCCCTTAATAAATGTGAGTGTGTGTGTGGTGTTGGCAATGCACTTTGTTTTGTATTGTTTGTTTGTATTTGTTCATGTTTATATGTTCGCAAATATATGTATATACATATATATCTATGTATATAGATATGTGTGCATGCATGTGTTTATCATTTTGTAGTCTATCTCATCTTCACTCCTTCTTTCTGTCGTTCTTCTTTTATATTCCCCTTGCTCCTGCTTTTATTCTAATCCGTTTTGTTCTTCTCCTTTCCAGAGATCTAAATATATATTAAAATATTATATGTCTGCCCTCTCCTACTGATGGATGACAGCAAAATTGTCGTTAGTATTTCTGAGTAATATAATTATGTATATTTCTATATTAATATGAACAATTCAAGCCTGGGCACAGGCTATCTCCTGTTAAATGTTAAAGTGCTGTTAACATAAAGCTGTTAAGATTTCTCTGTTAACTTGACTGTTAAAGTGTTTTGGTGGAACAAACGTAAGGACAACAACTGATATCTTAGTTTTGCTTGGCCAGTTTCTCT